TACAAATTGGTGCATTCACCTTATAGCCAGTGGGATAACCACTTTACAATTATTATTAAAGTTTCAAATGTCTCCGGAAGGTGGTGAGTGACTCCGCTGTCCTGGCGTCGTGTGGGAGCTTGTTCCACCATTGGGGTGCCAGAGCAGCGAACAGTTTTGACTGGGCTGAGCGGGAACTGTGCTTCAGCAGAGGTAGGGGAGCCAGCAGGCCAGAGGTGGATGAACGCAATGCCCTCGTTTGGGTGTAGGGACTGATCAGAGCCTGAAGGTACGGAGGTGCCGTTCCCCTCACAGCTCCGTAGGCAAGCACCATGGTCTTGTAGCAGATGCGAGCTTCAACTGGAAGCCAGTGTAGTGTGCGGAGGAACGGGTTGACGTGATAGAACTTGGGAAGGTTGAACACAAGACGGGCTGCGGCATTCTGGATGAGTTGTAGGGGTTTAATGGCACAGGCAGGGAGCCCAGCCAACAGCGAGTTGCAGTAATCCAGACGGGAGATGACAAGTGCCTGGATTAGGACCTGTGCCGCTTCCTGTGTAAGGCAGGGTCGTACTCTCCGAATGTTGTAGAGCATGAACCTACAGGATCGGGTCACCGCCTTGATGTTAGCGGAGAACGACAGGGTGTTGTCCAGGGTCACGCCAAGGCTCTTCGCACTCTGGGAGGAGGACACAACGGAGTTGTCAACCGTGATGGCGAGGTCATGGAACGGGCAGTCCTTCCCCGGGAGGAAGAGCAGCTCCGTCTTGCCAAGGTTCAGCTTGTATCAGGTGACCTGTCCTCCACAATCACCCGACCTCAACCCAATCACCCGACCTCAACCCAATTGAGATGGTTTGGGATGAGTCGGAAAGCAGAGTGAAGGAAAAGCAGCCAACAAGTGCTCAGCATATGTGGGAACTCCTTCAAGACTGTTGGAAAAGTATTCCAGGTGAAGCTGGTTGAGAGAATGCCAAGAGTGTGCAAAGCTGTCATCAAGGCAAATGGTGGCTATTTGAAGAATCTCAAATATAAAATATTTTGATTTGTTTAAAACTTTTTTGGTTACTACATGATTCCATATGTGTTATTTCATAGTTTTGATGTCTTCACTATTATTCTACAATGTAGAAAATTGTAAAAATAAAGAAAAATCCTTGAATGAGTAGGTGTGTCCAAACTTTTGACTGGTACTGTATATCACTTGTTGGTTTATCCCTCTGTACTGGTACAGATCTACTACTCACACCACTCCTCTCAGGATCCCTCCCTCTTGACCCATCTTCCTCTACTTTCTTCACTGCCTCAGCATATGACAACTTCTGCACTACTCTAACCCTGGAAACCTCAAGCTGCCTCTCTCGCACAGGACATTTCTAATCCCCAGCCCCATGGGCACCCCTGCAATTAACACATACCAATACTTTCCCCAATGCTACACATTCCTTTGTCTTATGCCCTTCTGCACACTTCTCACACCAAGGAACCTCCCTCCTACATAATGCTGCCACATGCCCATAAGCTTGACACCTGTAACAATGTAATGTATTCGGCACAAAAGCTCGTACAGGATAACTTATATATCCTAACCACTTTGTCGGGCAAAGACTCAACATCAGAACTCAAAAGAACAGACAAACTCTTCTGTTTCACCACTCACGCCACCCTGTCTGCGTCGCACCAAACGACGAGCATCACAAACACCGGGAATCTTCCCCTTTAGTTGATCAACTTTCACATTTACTTCTACCCCAGTAATCACTCCTTTCAATGGCGCCCTTTTCTTGAGAGCAAAACTATTCACTTTTGCCCCCACCCTGCTCCCTCTGACCAGCAGAAACACAAAGAATTATCACAAGACCACTTCTATTTACCCTCACCGATTCCACAGCACCCAACTCTGTTTTCACCCACCCTGAATCCACAAATGGATCAGCCAAAAGGCAAGGGTCAACTTTTTCCAAAAACTTCACTCCTACTGTCACAGACTCATCTTTATCCTGACCCTCGGTGCAAGCCGAGAACTTCACCACACCTACCACCTCCAATACTTCGCCCTCATTCACTTCCATTTCTCCTCCTGTGTTCAGCTCACTCTGCTTACACTTTCTACCATTCTTCTTTAACAAACCATCTCCCTTTTTCCCGCCATTTTTAACCGACTTAAGCTCACCCTCTTGCTCCTTCTCTCTCTTAGACCTCCTCTGCCTCTGTTTTTCCCTCCATTCCTCCTCCGTATTCCAAGTATACGTCTCCTTATGATAATGCTACACTTCTCCTGACATACATCTTGTGCTTGCCTTCTCAAGGGATGCCATTTAACCGGCTGTTACAATCTCTGTACAATCAGCACAAACCCCTCGGAATGTAGCGCTCAACAGTGCATTCCACTTGTAAAGCAGCTGCTTTGTCTTGATGTTCTTCTTTATCGAACAACCAGGTTTTCTGTCACAGTTTTACATTTTTATTTATTTATTATTTTTACATACATAGACCTAATATACACATAATTGATTGGTTGTTCTGAATATAGGCTACATGTATGTGTTGTAGGTAGCCTGACACTGTAAGCAACATTCTCAATGTTACATTCTAACAATCAACTGTATGTTATGTATCAATCAAACCTAATGAAATGTGATATTTTGTTCACCAACGTTCTCTTTGGATTGTAGCTCAACATATTGCTAGAGTTATGAAACCCTATGATAAAATTCAAAATTATTCAATTATGTATGCCAAGGTCTGTTCATCAACACACAGTAGGCCTACCGATTAGTAGCCTAGAATACTACCATAATAACTCAGTCACCCAACAGCAAATAACAAAACAACAGAATGAGCAAATGAAGAGATTTATTCCATTTCTGATCAAAAGTACACTGTCATTTTGTTCATTACCCACAAATATATTTCTAATAAGTCATTAATTAAAAATAAGGCTTCAATTCTGAATTTATTTGGTACCCATTTGTACCCAAAATCACACTGTGCCTGTAAAGAAATATGAAGATATTTGAAAATGTACTGAAGTGGTGTTGTAAAGGCAGGCCTTTTATAAACATTGTGGATTTTCTGTTTCTTCTGCATCCATTGTGCCTGATAGGTTTCCCTATATCTCTCACTGCTCCTGTGTCATTTCACTGTGACCTCTATACTACCCTAATGCAGCAGGCCAGGAGGGAAATGAAAGCCAACCCCTTGAGATACTGTAAACTGATGGTAGGGGTATGACTTAACTACAGTGAGGGAAAAAAAGTATTTGATCCGCTGGTGATTTTGTACGTTTGCCTACTGACAAAGAAATGATCAGTCTATAATTTTAATGGTAGGTTTATTTGAACAGTGAGAGACAGAATAACAACTTGATTTGCATTTTAACGAGGGAAATAAGTATTTGACCCCCTCTCAATCAGAAAGATTTCTGGCTCCCAGGTGTCTTTTATACAGGTGACGAGCTGAGATTAGGAGCACACTCTTAAAGGGAGTGCTCCTAATCTCAGCTTGTTACCTGTATAAAAGACACCTGTCCACAGAAGCAATCAATCAATCAGATTCCAAACTCTCCACCATGGCCAAGACCAAAGAGCTCTCCGAGGATGTCAGGGACAAGATTGTAGAACTACACAAGGCTGGAATGGGCTACAAGACCATCGCCAAGCAGCTTGGTGAGAAGGTGACAACAGTTGGTGCGATTATTCGCAAATGGAAGAAGCACAAAATAACTGTAAATCTCCCTCGGCCTGGGGCTCCATGCAAGATCTCACCTCGTGGAGTTGCAATGATCATGAGAACGGTGAGGAATCAGCCCAGAACTACACGGGAGGATCTTGTCAATGATCTCAAGGCAGCTGGGACCATAGTCACCAAGAAAACAATTGGTAACACACTACGCCGTGAAGGACTGAAATCCTGCAGCGCCCGCAAGGTCCCACTGCTCAAGAAAGCACATATACAGGCCCATCTGAAGTTTGCCAATGAACATCTGAATGATTCAGAGGAGAACTGGGTGAAAGTGTTGTGGTCAGATGAGACCAAAATGGAGCTCTTTGGCATCAACTCAACTCGCCATGTTTGGAGGAGGAGGAATGCTGCCTATGACCCCAAGAACACCATCCCCACCGTCAAACATGGAGGTGGAAACATTATGCTTTGGGGGTGTTTTTCTGCTAAGAGGACAGGACAACTTCACCGCATCAAAGGGACGATGGACGGGGCCATGTACCGTCAAATCCTGGGCGAGAACCTCCTTCCCTCAACCAGGGCATTGAAAATGGGTCGTGGATGGGTATTCCAGCATGACAATGACCCAAAACACATGGCCAAGGCAACAAAGGAGTGGCTCAAGAAGAAGCACATTAAGGTCCTGGAGTGGCCTAGCCAGTCTCCAGACCTTGATCCCATAGAAAATCTGTGGAGGGAGCTGAAAGTTCGAGTTGCCAAACGTCAGGCTTGAAACCTAATGACTTGGAGAAGATCTGCAAAGAGGAGTGGGACAAAATCCCTCCTGAGATGTGTGCAAACCTGGTGGCCAACTACAAGAAACGTCTGACCTCTGTGATTGCCAACAAAGGTTTTGCGACCAAGTACTAAGTCATGTTTTGCAGAGGGGTCAAATACTTATTTCCCTCATTAAAATTCAAATCAATTTATAACATTTTTGACATGCGGTTTTCTGGATTTTGTTGTTGTTATTCTGTCTCTCACTGTTCAAATAAACCTACCATTAAAATTATAGACTGATCATGTCTTTGTCAGTGGGCAAACGTACAAAATCAGCAGGGGATCAAATACTTTTTTCCCTCACTGTATATGCAAAATAATTTGCCTGAAGCCTATTTCCCCCAGAGGTTTGATGCTTATGTTAAACCTGTTATGATATTTAAATTATCTCTATCACAATTAAAACAACAGAAACTGAAGAAAGTCACAACAGAAGAGAATGGTTGACAGTATGGTTCCTTGAAATGAGTAAGGCTGCTATTATGAGAGTGTGTGCTTGTTGCCTACCGTGTGCGCGCGCGCGTTTGTGTGTGTGTGTGTGGTGTCAGTGTCCACTGTCGTGGCAAGTTGAGTGGTTCTGGCTGAAGATTCCTGGTTTGAAAATAGTCCCTGGTTTATTGGTAGAATATTCCTGACATACAAAAGGGTCCTGGTTTGGAAATTATGCTAAGGTTAAAGAGGGTCTGTTGTGATAGGCAGACCCAGAATGAAGCGGACTTAAGGGAATAGTGATTGGTAGGTCAGTCTCTGTGAGTGGTGCCTGCTAGCTGACTGGCAGTCCGGCGTTGGTCTTCTTGTCACGGATGGAGCTCAGCATGTCTGAGACGAGCTCCTCAAGCCCATAGGTCGACTTCCAGCCCCAGTCTCTCTGTGCGTTGGAGTCATCAAACCTCACTGGCCAGCTGTCCGCTACACACCAGGGGACAATCATGGTCAAGAGTTATTTTACACATCACAACTTTCATAAGACGCAATGATGACATCATTCATGACTGGGGACCGTGTGAAGCAAACCCAGAGCAAATAGCAATGCTGTAGGAGGTCAAGGATGTGAGAAAGGCTGACATGCAAGGCTTACAATATTTAATACTACTACAAAAATACAATGTATATCTACTCTAATCTATACACTATGAAGGAGAAAACGTTCCATATACTTCTGCTATGGCTTAATTCAAATCACACATCTTGAGGTTCAATAACAATTTAAAAACACTCCACAGACAGTCAGACACACACCAATAAGATGAACAATGAACATACCAATGGTCTGGCGGACAGAGTCAGGGTTATAGGTGACCTTGAGGTGGGGCAATTGCTTGCGGATTTCCGAGGCAACTTCCTCAGGGGTGAAGCTCATGGCAGCGATGTTGTACGTGCGCAGCGACAGTTGGCATTCCGGGGCCTGCATGAACTCCACAGTCGCACGGTGGCAGTCACCAATGTGCATCATGGGCAGACGCGTGTCAGGACGTAAATAGCACTCATGGTGACCTGTGCTGAGTGCATCGTGAAAAATCTGGACAGCATAGTCTATGGGAAAGGAGAGCAAAAATGTACACAGAATGTATTGGAATATATCCCTATGGCATTAATACTTTAAATAGTGATGATATGATAAATATGGGTTACTTGTTGTTCCTCCCCCAGGCTGTGTGTTAGCTGAAATGACGCCAGGATAGCGTAGGCAGCGGAAGTCCAGTCCATACTTGTGATGAAGATACTAACATAGAGAGATTTAACACAATCAAAGGTAGAGCAAATATCCAGCAAAAGCATATTTCTGCAGCATATTTCTCTTAATCTGCACTGTGTTAATTAATTGACTTACTCTCTCTGAAAAAGATACATGTGAAAACTCTCTCGCTTTAAGAGAGGACCGGCAGGTTGTGTGTGTGCAAGAGTGTACATTTGACAGCGATGTGGTCGCATTATGACTGCATCTATGACTGTTTGTGTGTTGATGTGTGTATATTTGTATGTGTAAACATAACAGGTCACACCTCCCCCATCAGTTCGCCGTGCACTTTGGACACCCCATAAATGGTGCGAGGCCTCTGGACACACAGGTCAGGTGCGGGGTCACGGGGAGAAGAAGGGCCAAAAGCTCCGATGGTGCTAGGGACAAAGAGACGTAAGCAGCTCTCCAGAGCCAGGTCCAGCACATTATGAAGGCCTAGAAAGAACAGCAAGGAGTGAAGCTTTAGACAAAAACATACAAAACCTACAAAAAGGGATACTGTGATACTGCCCTGGATACTGTGGTAGCGTGTGTATGTGAATTTGGAGCTGACCTGTGATATTGATCTTGCGTGCCAGGGCCACATTGGCCTCTCCCACAACACTGAGTAGAGCGCTGTAATGCACCAGCCAGGTGATGCGGTTATTCACCACCAACTCTCTGAGGTTCTTATAGTCCAACACATCAGCATACACAAACGGGCCTGAGGGGGAGGAGAAGAGAGAGACAAACTACGGATTGCCCATTTAAGGCAGGGGACATGTTTTTTTCTGCAGAAAATAAGAGGATTTGAGAAGCGCAGTATGGATATGTGCATGGACATTGCGATCAAGAGAGAATTGCTGATCAGTCCAACTAAGAAAACGTACCACTTCTGTACACTTCTGGTGGAGCCTTCTTGATATCCGATAGGATAACGTTTTCTGTTCCGTACTGTTTCCTACACATTGATATTCAATTAATATATTACATTTCAGTGAATTCCTGAAATTTACTGAATTGGATAGGAGTCCAACACCAGAAGGTAAACTAGATGTTACGTGAGAATTCTACAATCTGGGGAATATTCAGGCTATCAACATCGAAGAAATCAGCATTGAAGAAAAGATTGCTCTTTCATTTTTTTTCTTACCTCAGGATTTCTGCAAGCCCCACACCTAATTGGCCAAGGCCGCCTTAACCATGAAGAGAAAAATAATACAATGCAGAATTCATAAGATTTCATAAAACAACACAATCGCAATTGTTCATTTGTATTTGCTCAAAGGTCTCAATAAAGAATATATGGTGAAAAATGTATTCTTATGTACAATTTCAGAATATTTTGTTACATTCTGCTTCAACCAGGCAGCAACCTTTTTTGTTTTCACCAAAGCTTTATGTACAGACAAAAACTGGCCTCTGGCTATTATTCTGCCCCTGGTCACTTGCTGGGGCCTTTTTGTCCCTAGCACAGTCTGCTCACAGTCTATTGTACTAAGGAAAAGAGGATTGCCACTTACTGAACAGTGAAAACAACTCGAAATGACAAAAACTAGAATGACAGCACACCTATGCTTGTAAAAAAAAAATGCATAAACACATATACATCCTATAGGACCTATCTATAGACTATGGGCCATAAAGTTTTCATTGCTACTTGAAATAAAAAAAGGTTTAACCTGTGATGAGAATTCGTGGTTTCTCCGCAGGAGCTAGGTCAATGGAATCCTGACTGTTCCACCGGCTGATCTGTCGGGGCGACCAACTAAAGCCCCGGAATGACAACCTACGCGCCCGGCTGCGACAGCTATGGCACAACGAGCCGAATAGAGCTGCCGCGGAGGGCACACAGACCCGCATACCCGATAGCATGTCGAGCTGTTGCCCCTGTGGAAAAAGTTGGATCAAAGACAACAGGCTTTGTTATCTATTTCATCCGGCAAATCAATCTCACTCAGTAGGAATGACACCACTTAGGTCATAGACACGGTTCATTCTATGGATTAATTCAAAAATTACAATTTGAACAGTGCAATGGAAAAATCTAATCTAATTTTATTGGTTGCATACACATATTTAACTGATGTTATTGCAAGTGTAGCGAAATGCTTGTGTTCCTAGCTCCAACAGTGCAGTAATATCTAACAATACACAACAATACACACAAATCTAAAAGTAAAATAATGGAATTAAGAAATATAGAAATATTAGGACGAGCAATTTAGGAGTCCGGAGTATGTATGTATGTATATATATATATATATGTTTGTGTGTGTGATGGGCTGTATAGATATTGACAGTATGTGTATAGAATATGCAGTATATCTGAAGAATACGTGGATAGAATAGTATATGTACAGCAATAGTTAAATAGGATGGCCTAGAATACAGTATATACTTTTGAAATGGGTAAAACAGTATGTAAACATGATTAAAGTGACCAGTTTTCCATGTCTATGTACATAGGGCAGCAGCCTCTAAGGTGCAGGGGTGAGTAACCAGGTGGTAGCCTGCTAGTGACCATGACTAAGTTCAGGGAAGGGTACTGGGTGGAGGCCGGCTAGTGATGGCTATTTAACAGTCGACCTTGAGATAGAGGTTAGTTGACCATGATAGGCTATAGGTTAGTTATGTAACATTGTTGTTTAGCTTACTTTTAAAAAATCAACTTTATACAGTTCTAATTGGCTGAAACGCCACGCGTTATCTTTCAGAAGTAGAATGAATACAAAACAACATTTTACCTGTGTGCTGCCAAAAACCTGCAATCAGTATTTGTTCGTGCCAAGCACTTGTTGCCCAAACTGAATACTTTAAAGATCGCACAAGCGCATCCCACGCTAGTTTACAAACTAATTTATGAAAATTGCGCTGATAAAACGGTTTTCATGGTATTGAACTCTTAGAATTAAAAGATTACCCTCTGATTGGTCACGGATTAAGCGCACGGAGCATACATTGGGTAAGGCAGATAAACTGCTGAAGAAAGTACTGCTGGGATATGTAGTTTTCCTTGTTGTGATGCAAGCGCGCGAGAGGGCGTGACTCAATTGTAAAGGACTACAATATCCAGCCTGCAAAGGAATACATGTGAGCAAACATGCTGACTAGCTTCTTACAGGGGATTTGTATTGTGTAGAAATGTTTAGCTGAGCTTGGCTTGAACAGGACTGGAGCGTAGAGGCTTAATTCAGAGTCAGATAAGGAATAAAAATATATTTGACAAGTGACAACAAGCATTATGCTACTTAATACAGTAGGGTGGGGGATCGGGGGCAAATGTAGCGTGATGAATAAGTCAGCTGTGAAGAGGACTTCTGATTCCCGTCTTTAAAAACACACAGAAACACACATCAAATAACCAAATCAGAATACAGAAACAATCTATTAACAAAAACAATAAGATACAGTGCCTTGCAAAAGTATTCATCCCCCTTGGCGTTTTTCCTATTTTGTTGCATTACAACCTGTAATTTAAATGACTTTTTATTTGGATTTCATGTAATGGACATTGGTGAAGTGAAATGAAAAAAATAACTTGTTTAAAAAAATTCTAAAAAATAAATAACAGAAAAGTGGTGCGTGCATATGTATTCACCCCCTTTGCTATGAAGCCCCTAAATAAGATCTGGTGCAACCAATTACCTTCAGAAGTCACATAATTAGTTAAATAAAGTCCACCTGTGTGCAATCTAAGTGTCACATGATCTGTCACATGATCTCAGTATATATACACACCTGTTCTGAAAGGCCCCAGAGTCTGCAACACCACTAAGCAAGCGGGACCATGAAGACCAAGGAGCTCTCCAAACAGGTCAGGGACAAAGTTGTGGAGAAGTACAGATCAGGGTTGGGTTATAAAAAAATATCAGAAACTTTTAACATCCCATGGAGGACCATTAAATCTATTATTTAAAAAATGGAAAGAATATGGCACCACAACAAACCTGCCAAGAGAGGGCCGCCCACCAAAACTCACAGACCAGGCAAGGAGGGCATTAATCAGAGAGGCAACAAAGAGACCAAAGATAACCCGAAGGAGCTACAAAGCTCCACAGCGGAGATTGGAGTATCTGTCCATAGGACCACTTTAAGCCGTACACTACACAGAGCTGGGCTTTACGGAAGAGTGGCCAGAAAAAAGCCATTGCTTAAAGAAAAAAATAAGCAAACACGTTTGGTGTTTGCCAAAAGCCATGTGGGAGACTCCCCAAACATATGGAAGAAGGTACTCTGGTCAGATGAGACTAAAATTGAGCTTTTTGGCCATCAAGGAAAACGCTATGTCTGGCGCAAACCCAACACCTCTCATCACCCCGAGGAACACCATCCCCACAGTGATGTATGGTGGTGGCAGCATCATGCTGTGGGGATGTTTTTCATCGGCAGGGACTGGGAAACTGGTCAGAATTGAAGGAATGATGGATGGCGCTAAATACAGGGAAAATCTTGAGGGAAACCTGTTTCAGTCTTTCAGAGATTTGATACTGGGACGGAGGTTCACCTTCCAGCAGGACAATGACCCTAAGCATACTGCTAAGGCAACACTTGAGTGGTTTAAGGGGAAACATTTACATGTCTTGGAATGGCCTAGTCAAAGCTCAGACCTCTATCCAACTGAGAATCTGTGGTATGACTTAAAGATTGCTGTACACCAGCGGAACCCATCCAACTTGAAGGAGCTGGAGCAGTTTTGCCTTGAAGAATGGACAAAAATCCCAGTGGATAGATGTGCCAAGCTTATAGAGACATACCCCAAGAGACTTGCAGCTGTAATTGCTGCAAAAGGTGGCTCTACAAAGTATTGATGCTCATGTTCTGTTTTTTTGTCTTATTTGTTTGTTTCACAAGAAAAAATATTTTGCATCTTCAAAGTGGTAGGCATGTTGTGTAAATCAAATGATACAAACCCCCCAAAAATTCATTTTAATTCCAGGTTGTAAGGCAACAAAATAGGAAAAATGCCAAGGGGGTGAATACTTTCACAAGCCACTAATATATATATATATATATATATATATATATATATATATATATATATATATATATATATTCCAGACTGACAATGCTCTGTCAGATATTTCTCAATTTCTTTTAAAATTTTTTGGGGATTTGTGTATTGTTAGGTATTACTGCACTGTTGGAGCTAGAAACATAAGCATTTTGATGCACCTGCGATAACATCTGCAAAATGTGTGTACGCGACCAAAAAAATGTGATTTGATTCTGGGACAAGGAGCGTTTTAGCTATCAGTTTATTCCAAGTAATAATTTATGACCACAAAAATATGTAGGACAACTAGTGTAAAGCTAATGCAGTCAAGACTCATTTTTATGTTTAATCCCCTGTCCACGCAGGAGGCAGTCATTGTAAATAACAATTTGTTCTTAATTGACTTGCCTAGTTAAATAAAGGTCAAACATTTTTTTTTATAAAATACAGGCTGGACCCACTAATTTAATTCATACTAACAAATAAGAAATGCCACATTATCCCTGTCAATAGTTGGAGTAGGATGATTGCAGAGCGCCCTGCCTCAGACTGTCAGGATGTTCATTTCCTAGCTCACAAACTACATACTTTGCAGTGATGATTACTTGTATTTATTCTTGTCTCTCACTTTTGTGTCATATGATCTATTCATCTCTCCTGTGTCCTATTCCCAGAAATCAACCAAGTGCTATTCACCAAGCATGGACTGATTCACTCACCTGTGAGGAGAACCATCCTGCTGCAGTTTGAACTAGCCTTGCCCTCACTATTTAGACATTGGGACCACATATGCATTTGCCTGTTGTCTTTTCTTTGTGGATTTTGTCTTACCAGTCTAGTGCATTTTAGAGTTGAAAAACACAAACTACAGATACACGTGCTTGTGTTACAGGTTTTGGTTTTTCCATTTATGTTTTGAGGTTGGACACGTATAGCATGTTGGGCGCATAGGGCACACCAATTGGTGTCACCTTGTTAGCCAGAATGTGTTACACCTGTGCTGGTTGCCATCTTGTTAGTGGGAAGGTGTTTCACCTGTGTTGGCCAAGGTGCTATTTAGGAGTGGCTGGCCCAGTGCTCCAGTTGAGCTTGAGAGATGTTTGGAGAGCTCCACTTTGTCAGCTGATGTGTGAGTTCGGGTGTTTCCCTTGTTTGTTTTGCTCCATATTCTTTTTACTCCCTATCCTAAGTTGTTGTGGGTTTTGCTTTTAGTTTGTCTTTTCGGAGGCGAACCTAGTGGGCATCCATGTTGGTTGTCTTTTAGAACCCCTTAATAGTGACCTTGCCAACTTTCAGTGGGCACCAACATCAGTGCCTTTCAGAACCACTTTCTGTTTTGGTTGTTAAAGTGATTTTCTTTGTTAGTTCCCTTGGTTGTGAGCGACATTTAGAGTATCTTGTGACATAGATGGTAAAGCTCTAATTTTTGGACTGCAATATTGTGCCCTCCACGGCACTTAATATACTGTACATTGATTGGTAGGTTACACTATTTAGATTATTCAAATATTGCCTGAGACACCTTTGCTATTTGTCTCTGTACTCAATAAATGGTGAAATACTTTGTGATGGTGTTTGTTTGAATGTATATGCATGAAACGTACATTATATTAAACATGTCTCACATTCGGTCATAGTTAGTAGAATAATGAATGGATTGGCAGGATTTTGGCACTGTCAACTTTTAGGTCAGCAGGAAAGTTAATCATTTAAACCACCTAAATACAGTTGAAGTTTACATACACTTAGGTTGGAGTCATTAATACTCGTTTTTCAACCACTCCACAAATTTCATGTTAACAAACTATAGTTTTGGCAAGTCGGTTAGGACATCTACTTTGTGCATGACACAAGTAATTTTTCCAACAATTGTTTACAGACAGATAATTTCACTTACAACTCAATGTGTCACAATTCCAGTGGGTCAGAAGTTTACATACACTAAGTTGACTGTGC